ATGACTGGCTGGTCATGCTGTGGCATCTTCTCCTTGTTGAAGGCGATTGCGTGAGCAGTTATGAACAGGACCGACATGCCTGCATTTAAGGGAAAGTTGTCGTGGAATAGCTATGCAATGAAAAATTACCTGGTACAAAATTATATAATGCAAGGGAGCAGTGACCAGGTTCGACCGCGAAAGATTCACACATATTCCATGCAATGGAATATTGTGTGGATATAAATAAATACCAAAAAGAGAGTTGGAAAAAAAACATTTATAAAAAAAGAACGAAATGAATACAAGAATCAAATGAATACATGAATTCATGTCAGAATGAATTAATGAATGGGATGGATGAATGAATGAATGAATGAACACTGACAGACGACCCAGGAGAGAGCAGCAGTACCACCGACCAGCCAGAAAAATACGAAGGACACCACGGCAACTATCCTCAACTGTTGAGTTGTGTTCAGGGCTATGTTGTGGCCTGTTGGTGTTGTTGTGTTGACGTTGTTGTAGTCACGTTAATGTTGTCGTTGTCATGTCGATGTTGCATGATGTTGTTGTTGTCATGTTGCAGAGTAAATGCTGTTAGCAGTATATGCATGGTGATTACGAAACACTGTCTGAAACATCTCTTTCAAACTAACAAGTTTTAAAATAAAATTAAATACCAAGAACTGTTAACCATAATGAATGTCACAAAAAAAAATGAACAAATCACAACCAAAGAAAATACAAAAATAAATAATAATAATAAATAACAACAACAACACATACTGATGATTTTAACATTTCTATCTGTATTCTTCTTAAAGAGGAACAAGGAGAGACTCAGCGACGACAGGACAACAAAGAGCAAAGCTGGTGTGGTTAGACTGTGATGTGATGTTTATGTTTGTTTGTTCATTTGTTGTTTGCTTGTTTGTTCATTCATTTGTTTGCTCAGCGATGAGTACTTAATGTATTATAACAACTTACACAATTTTATTTAATTCAATTAAGATGGGTCCAAAAACTTGGAGCATATAGTTAATAAGATACACATTTTTGATTGCTGAATCCAAGGCTTTCAACTAAGCAAGTTGAACCTTAATTAACTAAATGAAAATTTAAACTGAGTTAGTGTGAGAACTTTACTAGTGAATGAATTATAACTTCATGTTAGCAAAACAAATAGATATGATAGGGCCAATTAAGGTTATGCATGCATGTGATCATTTGTACTTTTGTGGTGACACTCAGTTTTCATTACTTCATGTATTACTTCAGTTTATTTATTACACATTTGGTATTAATTTATTAATTTTATAATTTAATTAATTAACTAATTAATTATTTAATGTGTCTTTTGTGTTATAAAGTTGTCACTATTCTAATACTAATTAATGTGCAATTATTATTATAAACTGAACAGTCATACAGTTCAGTTTATGAACTGAACCAGTGAAATACTAAACATTTTAAAATATTTTATTACTTTGACTAACTAACATGGCGACAGCTATGAAAAAGATGACGACCAGCAGATAGTTACTGTAGAAATAGTCAATGTTGGCCACAAAGCGTTTGATACCGTTGTCGTAACTTGTCGGAAAATCATATCTGCTCTTGTTTACAAAATCTTTCACAGGTCGAATATTCTTCTTCCACTGTCCAAACAACTCACGTAACTGGACGTTGGGCAGTGTGATTGACATTTTTACATTACACAGTGTTATTTATTTTATATTATAGTAAAACTGTAAAAGTATTAGAGTAGTAAAAAGTACAGTAACAGTTACTCAAGTTACTTAGTACAGCTGTCTAACTCTGAAATAAATAGAAAGAGTAGTGAAAGTGAAATATCAGCGCTACGCTCGGATTAGCCGATTATATTATAGAGGGTAGGTAGAGCTTCAAATAAAAAGTAGGATCAGTCAGGATATTTATGGCTCTTCTTAATTTTTTTTTAAATTTTTTAAATGAAATTTAATTTGTTTCTTTGTTTGTTCAGAGTTTAAATAGTCTAAAAAATGCGTTAACAGATGTTTAACAACTACTTAGCAAGTAGAAGTTCAACGGAAGAAAACCTAACTAAACTTTTTTTCAAACTTAGCAACAGAAAACAACGAACTCAATAAATAAATTACAGGTCCTTCACACCCTTACACGTAGTTTGAGATGGTTAAATGTTAAACTAAACGTAATAACTGCTTTAGGGCACAACTTTTTTTTATAAAACGTTAAAATACAGAATTTCTTCAATAAATTAATAGTGCAGCACTCTAAATAATAGTTAGAACTGTTGAAAGTTAGAACAGATGTAGCGAGACTGAGATTATTGACTGAGATTAATGAAGAACAAATGTTTATTATGCGCTCTGGTTTTCCGGATTTTACACAGTATCCTTAAAGTTTTTAACTCAGCTACTCGTCTGGTTGCTGGTGCCCCTACTTTTATTCATGTATCTCAATATCTTGTACTCTTACACTGGCTACCTATAAAAGAATAATTCTAACAATTTGCAAATTAATGTATAAATCTCAATCTAAATTATTTCTTAAATACTTATCAGATATATTAATTGAATCTAAACGCCCCGGGTTACGATCGTCTTCTCGTGCTCACTGCTCTTAACTCATGTTACACTCTTATGCCAAATCTGCATTTGCTTTTTTCGGCCAATTTCTCTGGAAGTCTCTACCTCCTTCTCTAACTATTAATACTTCTCCATCACTTACGAAGTTCAGAGCGGATCTCATGACTCATCTATGTGTAAAATTCATTTAAGAGCGCTGTTGAACATAGCAGAAATGGCACTTGAGAAAAATTGATTGATTCATTGATTGATAATAGGCAGGAACAATTGAGTAAAATCTTTTGACATCTCATGAAATACAGAGACAAAAAGACTACACTTGACGTTTATTGCTAATCACAATCAAAAATATAAATGGTACCAAATATATACCGTTCTAGACACACGCATACACACTACACGCTGTTTAACACACACGCGCATGCACACACACACACACATGTACACAAACACTCACGTATACAACATTATCAAATCTTTCCGAATTCTGCGGTAGGTAGGTAGGTAGGTAGGACGTCCTGTAATTTAAGCCGGTCAATTTTTTTAAATTTCATACATAATTACTCTATTAATATAATGAATATATTTTCATGATTGATACATTTGACACACAAAGCTTTTAAAATATGCACCAAAATAAAAGCAAAAAAATGGACAAGTGATATTAATAGTAGAAAATATACACTGCCGTCCAATAAACTCGTAAAAGTAGGTAGTTACTGAATGTTTGATATTTGAAAAATAAAAATGCCATTGGATCAATGCCTTATGCACTCCTCTGGTCTAGTCAACTTGTTTCTGCTTACTACGGTTAGCAAAAATCATAACAACATTGACAACAGTGGAAACAATAATAATGATAACATAATTACAATAAAATAATTATTACAAAATAATAATAATATATCATTAGATCCGAATTGATCGCTCAGAATGCTCATTTTAACATCAGCAAATAGCAAAATATTATTTCCTGATATTATTTAATTAATTATTTTTTCGCTTAGATAAAATTTTATGGAATTTAAACATAGGAATTGAACTATAGAAAGTGAAATAACCATAGAAGCATTTGCGTCTCTATCAATGTTTGTCAGCCACCAGATGACTTTCTACATAAAAATATAATGATGATGATGATGATGATAATAATAATAATAATAATAATAATAATAATAATAATTGAAACTTGTTTTTTCACTTGAAACTTGACAGAATACGAAATCAAATGATAAAATGAAATTTCTAATGAAAAAATTTATCAAAAAATGTATTTAAATTAATAACAACAACAACAACAACAACAATAATAATAATAATAATAATAATAATAGAGTCAAAATAATAAATGTAGGTATAATGCGTAATAACGAATATAAATGAATATAAAAAAATATTTAATTAATAAAATGTAAAATATAATGGATGTGTGTGGCGTAACAGCAATAAGACTTATGATACCCTTGTTTGAAGTCTTTAAATTGCACCCTGTATTTAATTCATTGTGAGGAAGTATCGTGAAGCTCGAACCAAAAAATAGAATAAATAACTTACTGACGGAAAAATAATTTTTATTTTTTACAGAAAAAAGAAAAAAGTTTTTTTGGCAGTAAACAAAATAAAATAGCCGAGAAAAATCAACAAAATTGTAACGTGAATTTAAATTTAAAAGTTTCAAAAATTTTTCAAATAAATCTATAAGGATTGTTATTTTTTATGTTTGAATTGAATAAACTTTAGAAAATAATTCGAAAGAACAAAAAAAAACATAGTTAAAACAACGAAAAAGATCAAATGGAATGATGGTGTAATGCGTCTTTTTATGTATGGGACCCTGCTCGAATATCATGAGATACCCTGATAACAACGCAAAAATATATTGTAATATGTACAAATCGCACAACTCGCGTTCATTTTCTTCTTTTCCAGTTTTCTCTTTCTTTCTTTCTCTCTCTCCCTCTCTGTCTGTCTGTCTGTCTCTCTCTCTCTCTCTGTCTTTCTCTCTGTCTTTTTTTTCTATCTCTCTATCTCATCCTCTCTATTTTATCATTCTTTCTCAATTTCTCCTTTTATCTATTTCATCTTCTTTCCACTTTGCCTTTTTTTATTTACATTTCTAATCTCTATCTTTCTCTCTTTCTCCCTCTCTCTCTCCTTTCTCTCCTCTCTCTCTCAACCCCTCTTACTTTCTCTTTTTATCTTCTACTTCGCTATTCTTAATCATTCATTTTTTAAAAATCTTCGTAAATGTTTTTCCAGCATTAAAAATGAAAAAAAAAAACGGTTGTAGAAAAGTAATAAATAAATAATTTAGCGGCATTTTTTGGCAAGGGCCATCCTGGTCAGTATGAAGACGGCCTGAACCTCCATCCCTGTCATCAGCTTCGAGCATTTTCTACTCCTAGGTGGGATGGGGGCAAATAAAATACTAATTAAATTATTTCAATTAAAGATAATGAGTTAAATCGTCTCACGTAATTAACACCAAATTGTAAGAATTACTTTAATGAGAGAATTATTTAAATCAATTGAGGAGTAATTGGTAATGCTTTTAGATGGAGCTCTGTATTATTTTTTTCGTATTGTTGTTTTTTTTATAGCATGTGTGATCATTTTAAATTAATTGAAAAATCATCAATTATAAATCTTCTGCGGGTTTTAATTGCTTTTAATAAATTCGCGTACGTGTTAGCTACCGAACACATCTTCCAGTTTTTCCACCACACAACTAAAAACATCTTTTCAATTGCAACCCCCAAATCTCAATACACCGATTTTTGAAAATTTAATTAACTCTCGATAGATGTGAACTTAATTCTATTAAAGTTAAAAGAGTGTTCTTAATAATTCTCCTTGAATGCCACTTTCAGTGGCATAAAGTTGATTAAGTAAGAAGTAATTTAATTAACTCGGCTGACCTTCCAGAGGCGATCAATTCTGTCGAATCAAAGAGCGTCAAATGTTTCGACCTTAAATTTTTTCGGCCATTTGAAGGATTTGTTTGAAAAATGCTTCTTTTATTAGCGCTAAATGTAGGTCGATATTTCACAGAGGATTGATTGATGTTGTTGTGTGCGTGTGTGTGTTCGTTGTTCATTTGTTTGTCAACAACCTGCTGATTGCGCTCGATGGCGCTGCTCTTCATGTCGTTTTCTATGTTGTTGTTGATGTTGTTGATGTTGTTGTTGTTGTTGATGTTGTTGTTGTTAATGTTGATGTTGTTTGTGTTGATGTTGTCTTCGTAAGTGCGGATGTTATTTACACTATTGTTGATGTTAAGGTTGTTGCTGTTTTTGAATTTGTTGTCGTTGTTACTGATGTCATTGTTCACGTTGGAGTTTGAACTGCTGTTGACGTTGTTGTATTTGTCGCTGTCGTCAGGTTTGATTCCATAAATGATGTTGTCGTTGATGACAATGGTCTTGCTACTATCAATTCTATTGCCATCCCGGCGGTGGAGAACGAGTTTTTTAGCAAAAATATTTTCATTTCTTTGAGGATCGCCATTACGAATATTGTGACAACAATTATTATCGGTTAGGTTGACAGGATTCAATGTGAGGATGTTACTGATGTTATTAATGTCATTGCATCGGTTGACGTCATGAATGTAACTAATGTAGTTGCGTATGTTCATGTCAGGAGTGTTACTAATGTAGATGCATGCGTTGGTGTTACAGGCGCTTTTAATGTTTCTGAGGTTATCTAAACCATTGATGTTATAAACGTTATTAATGTTATTAATGCTGTTGATGTTATTGACGTCGGTGACGTCATTCACGTAATTGATGGTCAGTACATTAGCGGACGAAGGTTTAACAGTTTCGGATGCGAGTAGGTTGGCGGGCTGTTGCCTCGTCGAATCGGCTGATTTACCGATCAAGTATTCGGTTAATCTATTAGTATCGGCTGGATATCGTACGCCGCGATTATCATTATCATGATCGTCGTTGTTGTTGTTATCGTTATTTTTCCATGTTTCATCACAGGGGACGTCTTCATGATCATCACCATCATCACCAGGATCATTATCAGGATGATCATCACCACCGTCACCAGGATCATTATCAGGATGATCATCAACATCACTACCGTGGTCGTCATAGTCGTTGTAGTTGATTGATGAGTTTGGATGTAGCTTGTTGATGTGTGCGATTGTTGTTGATGTCGTTGTTGCTGGTATTGATGTTGTTGATGTTTTTGTTGTTGATATTGATGTTGTTGTCGCCGTTGTTGTTGTTGTGTGCTTATTTAAAGTTTTTGATGAAAATATGAATGTTGATAGTGAAGATGACGACGATGATGAAAATGATGATGATGTTAATATGGATATCGGTGATAATGAGAGCAGTGATAAGAATGACGATGAAGACGATGATGATGACGAAGACGATGATGATGACGAAGACGATGATGATGACGACGACGATGTTGATCCAGTTTTTGTTTCTTTTGAAAACGTCAGAGTCAATCTGTCATCTGGTTGGAACAGAAAATCATCAATCAATAATAATTCATCCCCAACAATAAGCAAATACACACACGTACAAACACACACACGTACAAATACGTACACAGCCAAACATACATACAAGATACAAATTCAAGAGCATGGCAACTTTTGTAATCGAAAAACATAGACTGGTTTATTTTTAGTTTAACTCATCTTGTAAAAGCGATTAATGCTGTAAAGTATTTTTTTTTGTGAATATATGTATTTGGAAGAGTTAAATTGTATTGAGACACGATGTCCAAACATTTCTCGATGCATGTGTGTGGAAGTTTTTTACCTTTAAGCATGACGCAGCTGACTAACATGTATGTGTAAGTACATGTTGTGTATGCCTGTTGGAAGCGTTCGGGGTGATGAGTTAGAAATGACAAGTTGAAATAGTAATTGGCAGAAGCAGGGTGATGATAACGCGATGAAATGGAGATGGGATAATATGGGATAGCACGATAATGGGATAACTTGGTTGAGTGATAACGTTATAATGGGATAAAGTGATGATGGGATAAAATGATATCGTGATAGCAAAATAGCGAAATGGATAGGGTCGAGTAACATAAGGTTGAGGATTGGATCAAGTATCAAGATTGGATCAAGATTGGATTGGATCAAGTATCATCTCTTTCATTAATTATCACCTATGTTTCCAATGCAGTTAAAGTGGTAGAAATCTTTAACATGAAGGCGACAAAGGTTGGAAAATAATTTTAAAAGGGGAAGTTTGCACCGCTGGTCGGTTCGTAAAAGTCATCAGAGCTTGTAGACTACATTATTCAACAAAACTGATTTGACATTCCGATGTTACAATTCTGTCTACATTAAATTTACCTTCATAAATCACACCAAAGTTAGTATGTGTGGTTGTGCAGAATTTTATTTAACCAGTTTAGGATAAAGATCGTTCATCTGGCGGTAAATTATATTTAAGCAAAAACTACATCAAGTCAGAATTGAATGACTTGTAAAATAAGTTTAGATTTACGCTATTATCCGCCAAGGTCCTTGCGCGAGTTTCTTGCCATAGAAACATTCATTCAGTTCGGAGTACTGACACAATAAGAAGAAATATACAGCGATGCGGTCTTGACACAAATTGTCCGTGAGCATTATTTTGCTATTAATAAATTTTTCTATTAATTTTTCTTTCTTTTAACCAAATAAATTCATTTCTCCAAATTTATCAAATTTTATTGTCTGGTTTTTCTAACTATAAACTTATCAAAACATCCGTGCCATTGTAAAAAATATACAAATATGTACAAAGAAACACACACACACACACGCACACACGCACGCACACACACACACACACACTTGAAAACAGAAAAAGATAACCAAACAATACAACAAAAATCGAGTCAAGAATAAATAATTATTCATTCCAGAGGCAGCTCAACACAACAATACGAACTATTATTTTGTCAGCTTATGAGCACATCGTAACAAGGTTGTGTATTGTATTGCTTGTGTTGTTTTGATGTGTTGTTTTGTATTGTACTGTTTTGTATTGTATTGTATCGTATTGTATTGTACCGTATCGTATCGTATTGTATTGTACTGTATAGTATAGTATAGTATAGTATAGTATAGTATAGTATAGTATAGTATAGTATAGTATAGTATAGTATAGTATAGTATAGTATAGTATAGTATAGTATAGTATAGTATAGTATAGTATAGTATTGTATTGTATCGTATTGTATAGTAT